AAAACTTATGTTTTTACTTGTTATGCTATTAAATTATGCTTAAACCACTTCCCAAATATTAAAATGATGATATTTGGAAGACCAAGGTACTAAATTAAACTTTATTCTTAATAAATTAAATTTGATTATAATTTTAAGCCTCCGTTTGATTCTTATTTTTCATCAATAAAAATGAAAAATATGACCATTATCCATCACTTCAAGCCATCAATTTTAAATTTCTATCTCTTGTATGGGCCCCAATTACGACTATATTTTTCGTTCTCATTCTACAATAATGAGAATCAAATGAGCCCAGTGAAAGAGGATGTATATGCATCACTTACTTTAGGATTGCCACTTTTATATACAAAACCTATATATGATTATCTAGCTAGTATGATGGTTCTTGGCGCGCTCGTCCCTTTGAAATCCTTTGCACATTTGCACCAAATTTACTATAAAAGTCCACTAATCGGGTTTTGATAGACAACTTAATGCACTCCAACCATTAAAATTGATCACACTATAAGAAATTTCACTTTCAATGTCGTCCAAACTCCACATTTGGTGATGTATTGTACATGCTACATGTAGGGTTGTGATGCATCAATTCTACTAGATGGCCCAAACACAGAGAAAACAGCCCCTCAGAATGCAGGTCTAGGAGCATTTATGATCATCGACAAAATCAAAACTGTCCTCGAAGATCGATGCCCAGGCATTGTCTCTTGTTCAGACATTCTTAACCTTGCCGCCCGGGATGCTCTTCATCTTGTAAGAACTAGCCCTCTCTTTTTTTGTATATATACACACCTTACAACAAGAAATTTCACTTTTAACGATGAAATCTTTTCAATATTTTGGTCTTGAAAATTTTTTCGATGACCCTTTTTTGATGAAACAACATAAAAATGGCTTTTCAAGATCAAACTTCTCATTGTTAAAAGTGATTTTTTTTTTTTTACACATACATACAGCGAATGACTGAATTTAGATATGTACTAATGATTATACAGGCAGGTGCACCATCATATCCAGTGTTATTGGGGAGAAGGGATGGGTTTGAATCAAAAGCTGCATGGGTGGATCTTCCATCACCCTCAATTTCTTGGGAAGCTGGATTGGCATATTTCCAATCCAAAGGTTTAGATGTGCAAGATTTTGCAACCCTCCTAGGTATTTTATTTCTCCATTCAATATATGCACTGGCAATATGGTGATTTGTTCGAACTTTACACGTATTGATTCCTTGTTTGAGCTTAATGAGCTCTGTTAGGTTTCAACTTTAAACATCTAACCACATAAGTCTTTATATGTTGATTAATATTTTTATACGAGATTTTATCATTAACGCTGTCGAAGATAATATTTAATAATATACATTTGACTTTAAGGTTTTAGATCAATTAGTTTAACATGATTTCATGTGTTCATAAGTTCAAGTCTCATTGTCCTTCATTAAATGAATTGTGCACGTGTCAGGCTTTGATAAGGAAAAAGAACCCGACTTGCACGTGAGAGAGCTCGCCAGAGATAATTTTAATATGTAAATATTTTCCTATCTAATGGCTAAATATGTAATGTGCATTTGTTATCTTCTTCAGGAGCACATACAATGGGAAGAACTCATTGCAACTACATCAGGGATAGGCTGTACAATTTCAACAACACAGGCAAACCAGACCCTACAATGGACACGTCCTTGCTAGATAAACTGAGACAGCAATGCCCACAAAAAATGACCAAGATCCAAGAGCAGAATCAAACGGTTTACTTGACACCAAAATATGGCCCAAATTACAGATTCACCTCTGCCTATTTCAACAATGTACTTTTACACCAATCTGTACTTGGAGTTGATCAACAGCTATTGTTCAATTACGACACGAACCAGTTGACACTCGAGTACGCAGGCAGCAACGAGCAATTTCGCAAGGGATTTTCTCTGTCAATAAGCAGGATGGGATCTCTCAAAGTTTTTACAGGGAACAAGGGGGAAATACGTCAAAACTGCCATTTTACGAACAAGAATAACCCACACATTAAATAGTACGCAAAATTAAGGCCTTCTGTGACGACTAAAAGGGGTCGCAGAAAGCCATCCATGTACGAGTAACGAGCCAACATTTTTTTTCCTTCTGCAGAAGGAGAATAACATTGATTAATAAGACATGATAATTCACTGTGATACGGATTTTTCTTATGCACAGAAATTCTTCTAGTTATGGTTGGACGATCCTAGACATGATAATTAACTGTGATACGGATTTTGAATTGCATTGAACTCAAATACACATAGAACAATAGGTTGAGTAAAACAAGGAGGAAAAACTTGTCTTCGGCTCGCTAATGGATTAATTACAAAGATAAACCTCAGTTACTTTTCTTCTTCTTGTGTGAAAGATGTATCTTTAGGCGTAAGTTACACAAGTTAGTCATGGTACAATATCGAGAAGTGGCCACCTTCGCTCATTTTGGGTCGCTCCTTTGCACCGCGCCACTGCGTATCAAGTGTTACTCTTATCTTCAATCACAACGGTATTTATCTTGAATTTTGCTAGTCACGCCACCATATCAAGAAGTGGTTGCTCGCATTCAATTTGGTTCACACGTTGATGCTGCGATTCAGACATAACTCGATGGTGGTGCAAGGGTGACATATGCACCAAAACAACCACAATATGCACCCTTTCCAATTAATAAACAAATTCTAGTCATTTATGCTTGATCAAAACAACCACAATCTGAGTTTCTTCAGTCATGATGGCTCTATTCTCGAGTTGCGCTCAAGTCATGGCACAATATTGAGTGGCCACCATCGCTCATTTTGGGTCACCCCTCGACGCAACCTCTCAAGCATTACTCAATAGGGTTAATATGTATCTAAAATGAAAAATAACTTTATCTAGACGAATTTTTTTATTAAATTAACATTGTACATCCTAAATGTATTTATATTTGTAAATTATACAAAACTACTGTACACACAGTTTAGGGTACTCTACATAGAGCGTCCTAGTTCATCCAACGACTACAACATCAACAATTATTCTAACATGTATAGAACCATATGCATATCCAAAAATGGCCATTTTTCCCAATCCATATTACTACTCTTGCCGACTTTGTTTCTTATGCGGGACTCTTGCTAGAACCGACCGTGACAAATCATTAATGCCATCGAAGCTGGATTTGTAGCAGTGTCATTCAGTCAGTAGAAGAAAAGTCGATAAGAAAACCAGGCGATTTAGGTTCCACAAAGAGATACCTGAGTATAGCAGATCAAGAGCCTCCTGCCATGAAATAATTGCTGCCTCCTGAGCTCCCAATGGCACAAGGTATATCACGAACAAGAAACTTCACACTGTGAGTGCCCACAATGTCCAATATTTCGAGGCACTCTTGCAAATCAGAATCATTTACCAACAACACCCATTCCTCTTCATCATCAAGATACTTGATCTGGAACTGCCCTGTATTTAGTTTGAACCTCTTTGCTATTTCTTCATATAGTTGAAGACATCCAGCAGAAGGCTCGAATTTGAACCGGACTGTATTTCCTTTATAAGTAGCTTTGACTGTAATTTTTGCCACACTTTCTCCACAGCTTGCCTCTGTCTGAGAATGCTTCCTTTCACCACAACTTCTCGAGCTTGATGAACTGCCTTTCATTGTTGAGCCAGGTCCACTGGATGAGTCTGTCATTCCGGAGGAAGTGGGCTGGTTATGTTCAAAAACTGCATCACCGTCCACCCCAACATCACCTTTAAACGTAGTGTTCATAGCATCACCAGCAGCAATGGAGATTGAGCTTCGAGAAGAGAAGTGATACTCGGAAGCCTCTTGCTTCATGCTATTGTTTAGCTCCCATTGATTGCATCCTTCTCCTGTAAGGAAAGGATCTGGTGGAAACTTCCCAAAAGACATCCAAGGCATGGTTTTAAGACTAGCAGGCTGGGACGACCCAGTATCTAGTGCAGCCAATTTGGATACATCGCAGCTTTCTGGCACAAGCACATTTATTCTACGTTCTCCTGTGAAAGAGTTTGGACAGAGCACATTTGACCTTGGCACTTTATATCTGTCCACAGAACACTCTTCTTCCATTTTCACAATTTCACTCTCAACATCAGTGCAAGATGGAGGGGCTGGGATCGCACCCTGGATAATCGAATCAGGATTTCTGACAGATTGACTTCTACTGTGGAAGAGCACACTTTTTTGTTGGTCAAAATCTTGGATAGAGCTCGCTGCCACGAGCTTCCCAGTGTCTGGATCATACTTCAGTCCACCTTCCACTCCCTGAACAGAGTCGAGGACGCTCTGTATTTTCCTCAAAGAACGATTCACTTTGTTTATCTTGCGGGATGGCCATCTTGAGATGCCATGTTGTCTACATATCCGTTTGAGAGTAGTTGGACACACTACAGAAACAAGAAACACATTCAAAACTTAGGCTATCCCTTCAAGAGATATTCAAACAGCCCTTCATACTGAATAGGCCACACCATATATAATTGTTGCCACAACCTTTTCCCATTTTAATCAATGAATTTTCCACAATGTGTTCTGTAAAAAGTACTAGTTCAATGTAATTTGAACTTCCATTTTTCTTCTGATCTCAGACTAGACAGTTCAATCAAATTCCTATTCTGGAATGAATAATCCAGCAACAATAATTAAGAAAGAAGCCCAAAAGAAGGCAAACAATCACCAGATTACGCTATATATAGCATTTGAAATTCTGTCAGTGAATGATATAATCTGGCATATACTCTTTCATAAGATAGTTACCAATCCATTAGAAGCCACAATTACCGTTTACCAACGGTAGTGCAACAGACACTATTTTTAATTGCTCATATAACACACCCCACACACACACACACACACACACACACACATATAGTGATCGGTGTTAGTAAAAGTCCACAATCTGTAATAAGTACTTGTATCTAACCCCGTGTTTGGTTCCTTGAATAGATGTTGATACCAAAGACAATTCTCCAAAGTGCATGCAACTCTCATGATAAATATTTTGTGAAACAAGTTAATGCTAAGACTTACCACCAATGCTTTTGGCTGCATCCTTCAGGCTACCAGAAAAATATTGCTGAAGAACACCTAAACTGACATGCTTCTCAGCTGTGCTTCGCTTCTTCTCCATCCGCCTCCTTGATCCAGCCATTGTCTGCAGTAATTTTAACAAGCTGTAAGAGCTCTGTTCTCTTATCCATTGAACACACTAAACAAGGAGATCAAAAACATATATTTATGGAGAAAAAGGAATCGATGAAAACATCAAAGGAAAAATGCACATTATTCATCCCATAGAGAAGTTTGCATGAGTTCCTTGAACACAAGAACATGTATGCTATTTTCACTCTTGTCATTCTTGTTGCATTTAGCCTAAAGTTCCATTGCTACAATCATTTGAAGCAGATATAACTCATCTTATTGTTTACCATTTTTTGCTCATTCACAGAGAATATTGCTTTCTTCATAAAAGGATATCTTCATAAAAGCACAGAGATGTAAGTTTGTTCATTTATTGAGTTCATTCTAGGATTTATAAAGAAAGGTTTGTTGCATAGGTTCTAGACTTAGTTAACCACAAGTATTTACATGTCATCAATTGTTTTTATTTTCCTGGGCCTCAATGGAAGCACATGCAGAAGCTCTGAGACCACTTAATGCCAATTTTTTTCACTATACATCAAAAAGTTATAACAGAGGAAAAACCTAATATGTTTTCTTTCAAGTCCAGTGAATCTATTATTATCTATAAAATTCAAAATGACAACACTAAACACATTCACTTATTTGTATTAATCAGGTAGAGAGTAATAATGCTAAATGTCTGTGTAGCACAGACACTTCAACTAGGGTAGCGTATCCGACACATGTGGGACTCGTGTCGGACATTGACACTCTTCGGACATTCTACCATAGTCATTTTTATTACTTTATTATAAATATTACATATTTTAAATCAAAGTTATTATTAAATAACAAATAGGTACTCATATTAAAAAGATTTCAACAAAAAAATAATAATTAAGTATAAAATTAAATTTATATTATAGAAATGAATTTTTTAAAATAATTTAATTAACATGTCGACTTCGTGTCCTGTCAATACTTTTTTGAAAAATCATGTGTCGCGTATGCATCATAGCTAAATGTATATTTAAACTGAGTGGACCACACTCTGGCATGATTCCAATCTAACTTACCTCCTCAAGACTAATGATGCATAACTAATTGGCTCGGTGAACCCCTTAACTAGATGGATGATAATGTTAGTGGATATGGCAACGACCCTCATCTTCAGCAATGACAACAAACTATGTGAATCCTCCTTCACCACTCCATTTCTATTTGTAGCTAGATCCGCTGGGAGATCTAAAGCAACTAGACCCTTCATCTATATGACAAAAATTTCTCAAAACGAGAAAGCAGTTGGTAACTTGCCAATTGTTTTTCACTGAAAACAGAAACCCAGAATACATTTTTTTTGTTTTCTTTTACTTTTTGAGGTGGGAGTGGGGGGCATATTTGGGGCTAGACTTTGTGTGATTATGTTATCAATTTAAGGGGAGCTGTACACTCAAATTCAGAAAGTAAATTCTGGGAATTTCCTGTCCTTGGAATTTGGGGACAAATATCTCGTATAGACTATTGTTAACTTACCGGGACATTATAATGTTGTTAACGTGGCTATAATGTTGATGCTGCTTAAAATAACATACAGTGCATCCATTCATTAGAAAAAAATAAGAATTGAGTGAAACGCTACTCGAAAACCACGTTCCAAGATTAGATGACAGAAAAGAAATAAGCAGCAGCAGCAATTCCTACAAGCACAATAAAATCGCATGCTATAAAATTTGATATCTGAAAAACTCACTGTATGCCTATCGGCTATCAACACCATCCATGACAATATTGTTACTCTTTGAAGCAAAAATGCTAGAACAGAGGGTCGTAATGCAGGAAAAAGAGGATCTCAGAAGTCAGTCTCAAAAAAACCGGTGTTTGGAAAAAAGTGAGATTCAATACTAGCAATTTAACAAACATAAATCCAAAAGTACCTGGTCAAGAGGACCATCAGCATCCATTCCAGTAGTCTTTGAATCTGATACATCCTGGGGTACTTGATCACCAGAGTTTAAATTGGAGCTCCTCCCGGATAATGTTCTCAGTGGCAAGTTTTGGACTTCATTATTCTGTAGCCCAACCTTAGATTCTAGCCCAAGTAATTCTGCATCTGCCACTGTTCTCAAACTCCTGGAGATCCTTTGCATTGTACTGGAAAGATTATTTAGCAAGAGCTGCTGTTCAGTACTCCCTTTCATATTGACAGGGAGAAATAATTCTAGTATAAAGTCATCGTCACCAGTATATGTACTTCTTAACCTAATAGCAACAGCAGCATTTAGGCCGAATTTCCGGGCATGATGAACAAGTGGATACTCACTGATGTGGTATTCCTTTACATCATGGTAAAAAAAGGGGTGATTGGATTGCAGAGCTTTCCCAGCAATACCTTGTCCCTCCTGAAGATAATGTTCCCTACATGCATGCACAAATCCCTGCATAGTGCTGTCATTCACATAACAGGCTGTACTCGCAATGCATAGTATACATTTTTTGTGAGAACTCGGATTGCATCCTCTAACTTGTACTCTTATCGTTTCATCATCCGTCCCCTCTCTGTAACTACAGGGAATCCATGTTAGAGCAAGAGGCAGTCTGTGTGCATGGCAAACAGCTCGTAAAACATCAGTTATCTCAGCTAAAGCTGCCCTTTGATTCTTTGAGAGAGACTGCAAATTAACAAAAAGAGAATTTCAGATATAAGTAAACATAAGAACAGGAAAATAACTCATACATGTGATTATTCAACTGTCTACTTTTTGCCATATTGATATAAAACATACCTGGCACTGAAGTTGAGGTACAGTGCTCCTTAAATTCACCGCCTGCATATATTTGTAAAGTGTTAGTAGTAAGTCGTACTGATCTGGAAAATATAATTTTTAATAGAAAATGAAAATAAGTACACATAGGCAACACATATATGTAAACCCTTCCAGTGCCAAAAATTTAGGTGGGGGAGGGAGTTTGTGATGAGAAAGAACATGATTTTGGCTTCAAACTGATAAGAACTCCTTAAACCAAAAATCATCAGCTCCGCACAATCTTTGAATAATAATACTAATACAGTGGTTTTGCTCTCTAGTGCTTGACTTTCTTTAACGTCATGGAACATGAAAATATTCAAGGTTCGGGTTCCTTGTAAGCCAGTAGTACTAACTGATCAAGGGGAGACATTTTATTTTAAGCAAGAAATGGTAAAAGGATGATGAAAAAGAGAAATAGAAACTGACAACTAACCTGGAGGGCACGGCAAACATTTTCCATCTCTGAATCAAAATTGGGTTTCTCCTCCACGGTGACCACTTCTAGCACCGCACAACATGAATTTTCAAGTGAATCGTCCTCGAAGACAGGTAAGGCAACAGATCCACGGACTTCATGATCAACTGCATGTTTTATTCTCAAGTACTCTTCTTTTTTGTAGTATACAACATTGGATGTCCACTCTGGCATCTTCGAGGTAAAGACACGGCCAGGAAGTCCTGGGAAAGAACCTGGTCCTGATTCTGTTGCGAAAGTAAAAAGCCTAGACACTTCACGATATCCAGAAAGTGTCTGGTCAAGTAAATAAGGTTGCTCACAGGTGCTTAAGGTGTACACATCCCTATTCTTTATTGGAACCCAAACTTGTGCCAAAATACCCCCTCCAGACAATTCTTTGAATAGATATAATGCTTTGAGCATTTTCTCAGCCAAGGATTGTGAAGGAAGTCTAGGGATTGTAGTTTGTGCTATTTCAGCAACCGCATTCTGCTGGCCAGAGCTATTGCTTCTCCTCTGGATCACATCAACCCCATCATTAACAGAATCCATCGGAATATGTAATTGGTTATTCATGTGCCTAAAAATCATTGTATCTCCAATGCTAGACAAACTTCCCATAATGTCACTGTCTTCCATGGGAACCCCAGGACTAGACTGCTCTGCGAAGTTCAATCCATCAAAGGGTAAAAAATTTGACACCATCGAACTGTGAGGCGACATGGCAAAAGAGGGAAACAGGTGATCTGACACATTATTGGGGCTGCTGCACCATCCGCCGTTCAAGTCAACATTCATGAGCTCTGCAATGTTACTAAATGAACCATCCAAAGTCGAGCCCTGTATGCCATTCTCCATATATGTCATATCCATACCCTCCAACTGACCCCTTGGTGAAGACCAATATCCAGTATCCTTCTCTTCACTCAAAAAAGGGTACTCCATCTAATTTAGAGACCCGAAAAAAGATAATACCTCAAACAAGTTAAATCTCCAAATCTTAATAAACTTTCAAGCCACTTAAATTGAGATCTATTGCCCAAAATTCCTCCCATATTGAACACCAGTTACCAAATATCATAATCACGTTCAATTGTTCACATGAACTACCCCTTTCTCCCAATTCTTCAAATGACGCCCCAATCAATCCAAATCCACTGTAAGTAAACAAAACCCAGTAATACCCATGATATGAAGTTACTCATTCCTTCTTTTACACCCTCAGATACAAAGATGTATAAACAGGTATATGTATGTGTATATGTATATGTATTAGCGTCAATTACGCAGTAGAAATAAAGACAAGAACTTTGAGGACTGACCTCGGAGATTCAGAAAATTTCGCGGCAGAAGCAGGCAAGCAGCAGAAATATAATTGCAGAGAAAAAGCCGAAAAAGCTAATCAACCAAAAAACGCAGCGCCCCAAAAAATCCGAGAATTCACCAATTATACAGCGAATCAAATCACCGGAAGAACCATAAACCAAAACTCAGCTCAGATTCATCTCATCATAACCAATTAACATAAAGCTTATACTTGTATTAACAGAAAATGATAGAGAAAAAAAACCCGTATATCAGAATAAAGGGCTAAGTAAAATTTCGAGCTAAAGGATAACTTTACTATGTACTTTCTATATATGTTTGTACCCGTCGAAAGGACTGTTGGACTGATCAAACATGTACGGACTGTCGGACTGTTGGGCTAAGTAAAAACTACTTTTTTGAGGGAAGATTTCTGTAAATGGAAACTGAAGAGAGGGACGGGGATGGAGATTATTTAATCAACCGTCACAGAACTTTGTTATAATTTACAACTTACTAACCTATCTTTAAAAAGTTACTCTTTGTTCACTTAACTTTTCCATAAATTACTAATTGTTCATCAAACTTTAAAAATTTACTTGTTGCTCACCTAAAACTTAAACAAAGTTACTCGTTGTTCACCAAACTTTGCTATGGGTAGCATTGATGAAAATGATATGAGTGAGTGTGGGTAACTTTATTTAAATTTGGGAAGCAACGAGTAATCTTTTAAATTTCAGTGAATAAGTGGTTATCGAGGTGTCCAGCCACCCCCCCCAAAACAATGCATGCCCCCCAAGTGTAGTAAAAAATGTTGGCTCATGGCCCCCACCTCAATAATGTGAGTGTGATATAAAAGATTATGTATAAAATTATGTACATGTAAACTAACTCAACTTTTTAAACTTCGATGAGTAGGTACCAATCTATACATTGTACGGGGTAGTTTTGTTTTATAAATATAAATTAGTCTCTCTCTCTCTCTCTCTCTTCTTTTCCCCCTTTTTCTTTTATATTGACTCAAAGCTTTTATTTCCAATAGGTAATTTAATCTAATTCTTGAAAAATATAAAATCATCCAAGTGCTCAACTCGTATATTAATAGACAAGGGTTATCACTTTATGAAATTTCTTTAAATCTCCCTCTGAGTAAGCCACGGAGAGAAGGTTTACTTTTTAGTTTACTTTGAGATTTAAGGAGTTTAGAATGATAACCCCATAATATTTCCCTCAGTTTTCAAGGTAAACTTTGTTTAAATTGTTTTGAAAAGACTATTATACACCTAATAGATTATTAAACTTTATTTTGTAGTAACCGGGACACTTAACTTCATGATGACATACTCATTTTAATAATTGAAGTGTTTTTTAGAGAATTCTTCATCCTTCACTTCCCTAACTCTCCATTGCTTTAAAATAAATGGATGGTTGATTTGGGAAAGAAGTCCAAAAATTTGACATTTAATGTTTTTTCTTTAATAAGCATTTCTTACTTACGATTTTCACAAATTATATTTTCACTTACAGTTTTTATGGTGAGTAAATCTGCATGGATGGCCATGTTCGCGACCATTAGTTTAATGGTTAATTAAGCATGTTTTTATATGTAGATTGACTGAATCCAAATTGAATGATTAAATTGAAGTTGAGCAAATTGATTGTTGTAAATTGAAGTTTAGTGATGTAATTACAATTGATGTAGAAGTTGAGTGACCACCAATACAATTAGCCCAAGTTGGGAATATAAATTTCTAAGCTGAAAGAGAGAACAACCACAAGGGATGGTAGATTGACCATATTGGGCATATTGAAATGAAAAGGACACATCACTTAATAATTACAAAAAGAATCAATTGAAATATTTTGACTATTCTTAAAACTTTTTAACAATTAAATATTGTCATTTTAACCAATCCTTTGTTTCTAATTTTTTCATGTTAAATGTTAGCCAAACAAATAAAGTAGACTCACAAAGAAACTGATTTGCCTAACCTTACTTTGTTTTCTTGAATAATAATAACTTTGTTGTCTTTTCGCTTGTCGTGTAAAATAAGTTTTAAATCTGCATATACTCACACATGGAAAGTTTGGCATTTTCTTGGCTTCTGTATTGATATATTGAAGTAGTGAAAAAATGATATGTATATGTCATTTTTACATCTATCAGTATAAGAATGAGATTGAGAAATTCTTGTAAAATTATAATTACGAGTATTACCTCTTTACAAGGATATATATATAAACATGAGAGTACTCTTTCTATTAGGACGTAGAAACAATTTGCTTGAAAAGACAATATTTTTGACCTATTCCGATCAATAAAATAAATATTTGGTTTAAATATTCTAGATAAGACTAGTAATACAAGATATTATAAAACACAATAGTGTAAATTATATCAAAACTTACAATAAAAAAGTGGATAGTTGGTAATCGTAGAACGTAGAAATTAGAAAAACGAGTTATCTGCTTCTGTAAAATATGATTTGAACAATAAATAATTATTTTTATAGTTATTCCGAACTGGGCTATTAAAGTTTCTCAAGTCTATTTATTTACATTAAATGCATGGGTTTTAAGTGAAATGATATATTATTGAAAATCTAGCATTAACCCTCTTGTCATGGAATCAAATTAATAGGTGATTAATTAATAAAACAAGTAAAATTCAAAATCAATAGTAGGGGTAATTTAGTGATTTCAACGAGAAGGAAGGTCAGATTAAAGACTTTTCTTTTTTGGTACTTGGAATCTGTGGTAGAATTAGATTCCAAATAAATACATGGTATCTCACGCAACGAAATCAATGGCCAAAGCTGTCACCTTTTTACAAATTTTCAACTTCTATTTTTTATTTTAATTTATTTTTATTCAGATTCCATGTGCAACACGTGGCACTCACGTAGTCATTGATGACATCCATGTGTGGGCTCCTCGAAAAAATCATTATATTTATATAATTTATTTATTTGTCTTTGTCGATTTGCATAGATTAATTGTAAGAATTGTACCAAAAGATCATTGTAGAAGATTCGCTGAATCGATATCACTAATCATTTCATTGATTGGAATCTAATTATTTATTGAGCATATCAGAGTAGGATTGGGTCTCGTTGAGTTCTGTTTCATTTGATTACTTTGTAGGGTTTTTCCATTTGTATCGAAAATGCACGACAAACGAGTTTGACAACTTTTCACATACGTGCGGGGTCTCATGTGAATAAAAAATGGAAAAAAAATGTGGGCCCTCTCCCTATTGTGAGTGTTGGGTCAAAGTGTTTGTCAACCATTTTCGGTAAGTATAGCATTGCTCTACTGATTCTCTGAATTTTTTTTTTTTTTTTTGTTTCTTTACTTTGAGACATAATATCTGATTAATTATCATCATTTGCTCTATACATTAAAGCACTGTTTTGACGGGACATATAATTGTGTTGTAATTTTGTTTAATATATGATTTTTTTCATAGTCATTTGGTCAAGTACTGCATATAAATATGAAAATATATGATTTATCAACATATTTACTCAGCTTAGGAACTAGAGAGCATAAATTCATTTTTAATGTTACATGAATTATATATTGGATTCTTGTATACACCTTAAATAGAATATTCTCTACACAAGTATAAATAAGTCCTAGGTTCTATTGAGTAAAAGATCGAAGCAATTGTAAGAGAAAATATGTTGAATAAAAACGAATTTGTTCTAGAGAATAAACTTTTTCTCTTGGAGTATTTGCGAGTATACCCATTTGTTTTCTACGAAATGGCATCAAAGCTTTGATGAAGAAATTGTTAGAGACGACACTATACAATATGTTGCAGCCAAAACTTCTAATTTTAGTGGGATGAATTACAATTAATGAATTTAACAAATGAAGGTGTTAGTATGGGTTCCCAGGATATACCAAAAATCATAGAGATTTTTTTTAATAATTTCAAACACTATGTTACCAAAAAGTCCATATATTTGAAGACTGTACGTAGTGGATCATAAGATTCTTGAGAAACAACTAGTTGTTATCAATTTAAAAATGTACCAGAAGACAAATTATTTGAGGAAGAGTAGAAAATGAAATTAGAACAATTGCAGGTTGCATTAGAAGGCAACTGAAATGAACCATACGAAGGAAAATATGAGAAAGTGAGAACAAACGTCGGAAAAACAAACAAACAAGTCAAATGAGAAATAACAACATATAAGCAAAATTAAAAGTTGTAAATGATAGATGTAATTATCAAATGTATCGAAGTGTGAGAATGTGTGAAAAACAAATGTAATAAGATATTGAACGCTTTAATTTTTTCACAATATTTTTGCAAATTTGATTGTACCCCCTAATTAAAAATGTCTACGTTCGTCACTGCTCGTGAACAAATATTTTACATGTAGACCATCATTAATCTTGTCCAATTTTATATGTAGTTAAAATTTTAAGAGCTCGACACATGTTCACCGGCAGATCTAGCACCGGAGATCCGTCAATATATATATATCATTTATTTTCGAACAATTCCCATAGCTTAGTTGGTAATCCATCGTACAATTATTTTAGTTCAATATTTTTCACCATTTTAAAGCATAGTTTTTAAAATCATTGTAAATAGAAAGATTCGAACTTGTGATCCCCTTTAAAAATATAGAATATTTGACCAATATGATATTCGGTGAATGTTAATATTAAATGTAACAAAAATATTTATATTTAGTTTTAACAAAGTAATAGATATATTTGATTTTTATTGCAACCGTTGATAGTTAACGGTCAACTACTCGAGATTCTGGATTCGTCAGTACTTATCTTTATACTTTAATATGATGTCAAGACTCTAGATGGTTAACTAAATGCGATAATGACATGTAACTACTATATAACTTATTAACTATCTCATGCAATGAACCTCGATGACCCCAGTTTTAGTATTTTAAGATTCAAAAATGCTGGATGTCCAGTGAAATTCCTTTAAGACTATTCGAAGAATCATGCCTCGTTACTCTTTATGAATTGGAGGTGAAATCAGATGATTGTGATTTTTTTTTTTAAACTTAGTTTAAGGACGTGTAAATAAATATTTGAGGGTAATTTATTCTTATGTAAATTTGTCTTCGTTATGTGTGAATAGTAATTTAATAGTTATTGTTGGATCAGGACACACGATATTAGATCAAGAACAGAAAACAACAAGTTTGTATACTGAAAATAAAGAGCAAAATTAAAGAACACAATAGATTTGTTTCGGCCTAAGCCCCGGAGGTTCGGTGACCAGATCTAACACCTACATCCCCCGTTGAGCATCCAAGTTATGGATTATGCTCGGTTCCACTATAAAGCCCAAATCGGCAACAAAGGTTACACAAGATTTCAGAACAATCACAAAGAAAGTACAAGAACACTTATCTCTCAGTCACGCTGCTGTAGATCCACTCGAATCACAAAGAAACGAACACTACATCAACCTTACCAAACTATACAGCCTCACAAATACTTAACACCAATATTCACACAGAATATCCCCACACAGGGATCAAACTCAGGGATTTGATATGTAGAAGACAAAGTATTCTAGAGAGAAAATCGCAGCCAGAGAGAGATACAAAGATGAATAATGAAACCCTAGACTGAAAACGCTCTGCCTATCCAAATGCCAACTGAAAAGGCATTATAGCATTCGAACCATCCAGAAGCAGATCTGACGGTCAGCATTTGTCCAGGTGTCACTGATCCAGCAATAGGCTGGAACTAAAAGAGTTGTCACTTGCCAAATGCGATTTATACAAATTTGGAAGCATAGCATTGAACCCGGTTCAATTCCAACATTCTCCACCTTGCTACCATAATTTGGGCCATAGTGTAGTCCAGAACACAATCACATATTCTTTTCATGCGCTCAAACAATATCTGCACAGTCATTGCAAACTTTCAACAGATAGAAGTTTCAAACAATTCAAAAATTTATTTAAAGGAATAACTTTAGTTCCCATATCTGAAGGATTAACTTGAGTAGGAACTTTACCAATTTTTATAATTCCTTTTGAAATAACATCTCTTATAAAATGATATTTGATATCAATATGCTTAGTTCTATCATGAAACATAGGATTTTTGCTCAAATGTATGGCACTTTGGTTATCAGATAATAACAAAATATCATTTTCAGAAAAACCAAGTTCAGAAATCAATCCATTTAACCAAATCCCTTCTTTAACAGCATCTGTAGCAGCAATATATTCTGCTTCAGTAGAAGATAAAGCTACAACCTTTTGTAGCTGAGATTTCCAACTCACAACAGTGCCACACAAAGTATAAAAGTATGAGGAAGTAGATCTTCTATTATCCTTATCACCAGCAAAGTCAGAATCAGTATATCCTCTCAATATAACGTTATTGTTATTAGATTTAAACATTAAACCCAAATTAGAAGTCCCTTTAAGGTATCTAAATAACCATTTTAGAGCATTCCAATGTTCTTCTCCTGGGTTACCCATAAATCTACTCAATATACTGATTCCAAAAGCAAGATCAGGTCTGGTGCAAATCATTAAATACATCACAGAACCAACAGCATTAGCA